CTGACCAGAAAGTTCAAGACCTTAGAATGGCAACGATCGGCTGGGTGATAACCAACAACTTCCCAGAAAATGGTACCCTAAGATAACAGTGGCAGCTACAGGCTTGTTTCACTCTTGAACAAAAAATCCAGAAGTGAAGACTACTGCCATGTCCTGCCTGCTGTCTCTTGCACACAGTGGGGTGTTGCGCCAGGACCTTGCTTCAGACAGATGTCCGTACCCCTGATGAACAAAATGGCCCAAGAGAACCCCCAGCTAGATCCTTTTATCTATGTGGATGATTCCAGCATGAACTCCTGGGATGATTCACAGATACCAGCTGTTCCTAAGAAGTGGAAGAAGCATCAAGAATGCACCTCATTCACCCAAACACAATGCAACGAGTTGGAGGCCCTGTTTAACTGCAACATGTTTCCAGAGAAAAACATCTCCAGAGAAAACCTGCTTTAAAACTTAACCTACTGAGTGCAACAGTAAAGACTGGGTTCAGGGACTGGCAGTTCAAAACAAGAAGCAGCAGCAACAGAAATCACTGAAGCCATCAGACCAGATCCTTCCAACCAAGAACGTGCCAACAGCATAAGCAAACCCTCGTCGCCCCCACCCCCCCTGCCGGTTTCGGATTTCTGTAGCTCCCTCTCACTTCAGCCCTTAGGCCCTTTCAGTTGGGCAGGGGACTCTATCCTCACTAGGGTTCCTACAAGTGATGTCCAAATTCAAGACCCTCAGTTGGAAAGGCTAGTGGCCTCCGTCTCTGCTTTGTACTCTGACGCCTATGACATAGCCCAAATCACAGAAATGTAGTTTTCCTGATGAGGCAGAGATAGCCAGCTCTTCCTTTCACTCTCAGCATCAGTGTCACTCACCAGAAAGGCCCTGTTGGAATAGAATTCCTCCCTTAGCATCTTTGCTGGTCCAGCTGTAGGTTTATCTCCTGGGCAAGCATGGTTCAGTCTCACAAGCTGGAGCTTTGCAGCCTACAGCCTGAGAGAGCCCAGAATTCCAGAACCCCTCCCGCGGCGTGGTGGACCTTGGGTCTCTCTGATCAACGCACTAGTGCATGTCAGATAGTATAGAAAAACCAGCTTGCGTCTTGTACATGCCTCTTTCCTCTGTCTGCTTCTTAAACCGAGTACCTGGCTTAGTGTCACTTTGATTCCCACGGAGATGTTGTAAAAAGTAGAGTTTTCTCCAGGCATAGCTCAGTACTACACAGCCAGCCCCACAACTCTCCCTGGAAAGGGTCTTTCTAGTCCCTTGGACAGCCGACAGGGCACCAAAATTCCCTCCTCCCAAAACTGTCTTTGACTTTCTGAAAGAAGGCCAGCAGCCTTGGGGCTCATGCACTTTTGATGGGAGCAGGTTATAAACTCATATTTGATTTTCAGTCTTTAGGTCTGGGATTTTCTAAAGGGTATTTTCAGTCAAGATTTAAGGGAAAATCACCATCACTATCAGTTTCACTGTAGTGTAAGTGCATATGTAGCGAGGACTGTAAGAGCTAGCAGAGGAAGAGGTACAGCAGACTTTTGAAGATGAGATGGTCGACAAGGAAAACCAACAAAACCAGTAGTCACACTTTTAGAATCACAGATAAGCACATTTTCCAGCTACATGAATAACCCACAAAATTAATAGCATTTCTCAAAACCAATAATAAAGAAACACATGATAAAGTAAGTACTTATCATGAAAAATATAAAGTATCTAGGAATTAACTGAGAAAATTAAGATCTCTGTACAGAAAACTTAAAACCTTGAATAAAGTTTGTTTATTTGTTTGCTTTAAAAAAGAAAGAAAGAAACCCAGAGGGAGGAGAACTTGAAGTGGCACGGTGATTCCAACCCATCAAGGGTCCAGGGTCTCGCCTTGCTGCTTCCTCAGCACGAGGCTTCCAACCGCAAAGTTGCCTCGTGGTCTAAAGTGGCTGTGGGAGTGCCAGCCATCACCTCTGCACTGGTGAACAGAGAAGGCAGAAGTGGAATGGCAAGAGTAGGACTTTTCTCAGTTACCTGGTCCCATTTCTACGGACTCTTCCCCAAAGCACATCCCAATAATTTCCTGTCGTATCCCATTGTCACGCTGAGCTGCAAGGCAGAAAGATGTCACACAGCTGAAAAGAGACAAAGGGAAGCGGAGACAGTATGACTGACAGGATCCCTGTAGGCTGGACACAGACGAGGAGAGAACCAGGGAACTGGGAGAAGATGAGAAGAAGCTGTTCGGCCTGCAGTTCAGCAAGGCAGTCATGGGGACAGGAGGATCCGGGGAGGATGCTGGCAGTGTCTGTGTGGAGTCCACAGGGAGGTAAGACAGGCCATGGGCAGGGAGTTTGCTCCGTCTTTCTGACAGGGCAATTCACTGTAGACGATGGTTACGCTAAGTTTGCACATTGGGATTTCTAGTGACTCGGGGCATGAATGGGCTGCAGGAAAGACCCTGAAGTCTGTTCCCAGCAGGGGCAGGAGCAGTGCTTCTAGAACCAGAGATGGCTGTCCAGCAGGTGCTGTGGCCCTCAGTCAACAGGGGAACACAGAGCAGGCAGCCCGTCTGTGTGGGCCAGCGGGGTGGCTGGTCCACAGCCATCTGCCAGGGTACTGGGGGGTCCCTGCCACCCAGACGCACGGAGTCCATGACCCTCATTCCAGGAGGGGTGTTCCGGGTTAGGCTTGCTTTCTCCCAAGAGGCTGCCAGATGGCCTGGGGAGACCTACCTTGCCCACTGCCTGCGGGGCCATTTAGGCCATGGGCACTGGGCACTTGCTGGCCACTGGGCAGCTGTCCCTGCCGGCTTCCCTCAGCAGATGTCCTCGTCTCATTTGGTCAGAGTCTTTTCGTCCTGCCACACAAGCTGGCGTTTCATGGCCTGGGGCACATGAGGAGAAACCTACTTCCTGGACACGCGAGCCGGCCAGTTCTGGGGCACTGTCTCAGAGCCGTGCTGCCCAGTGGATGGGGGTGCTGGGCACCACCTCTGGCCCTGGGGCTCCACGCGGCCTGTCCTGATGGTCACCGGAGGGCGGCTTCCGTGGATGTCTGTATCCTGAGCCCCGCCCGCTCTCCTTGGTTCTTTCCTCAAGTCATCTTTCCCCGTCACCCCCAGCTGAGTCCTGGGGCCATGTGGTGAAGCCCACATGAGGAAGACAGTGAGAGGACGCAGAAGGAGGGTCCCTTCTGTGGAAGGCCCAAAGCCACAAAACGGCTGGCTTCAGGTGGTGGAGCTCAGTGGTCCCAGTGGTCCCTGTCGGCCGCCTCTGCGGGGAGGACAGTGCTGCGGTGAGGGGGCTGGGGGGGGGGCACAGACAGCTTGGGGTGGGGAACAGCTTCCTTCAGGTGCGGAGCTAAGACCTCATAGTAATTTGGGAAGCTGTGCATTTTGGTTTAAGCATGTTGTACATGTAAATGCTGTACATTACGAGCCAATAAAAAGTTTGAAAAAGTAAAACCATGGGAAAACGTGCAGTGAGACATGTTGAAGTTCCTCCCAGCTTTGTCTGTGACGGCACAGGATTAGTACCGCGCTGCTCAGGGTTAGGGGCAAGGCACACAGGCAATACCACAGCTGCAGACTGGAAAAAAATCAGGTATTTACAAGGATGGGGGTCACCATCCATGCTGAGCTCTGGGTGAAAGAAACTACGAGATAATGTGTTTAATATGGTTTCTCATTAGTGAAACATAATTATGAAAATGTATAGTACACATTAGCAGAAAAGCCTGCGAGTGTCAGCACCACGTTGACGACTGTGGACAATTTTTATCGTGTCGTATTTTGTTCTTTATATTTATCTGTTTGTTTTTAATTTTTCCTAAAATAAAAACCGCCTGCTTGCGTAATAAAAAATGTTCAGAAGGATCAGGAAGACAGGCCTGTTTCTCATTTCTCTGAGACAAACCCGGTTGCCGTGGAGACTGGACGTTGTCAAGGCGGCGATTGGCCGGTTTGGGATGCGGTGGGAGCCTGCTGAGAGCCCGGCTGGTGCAGCCGTCAGACTGCACTGCGGAGCACGGCACCAGCATGGACGGGGTGGACGTGTGGGCCAGCACTCTGGCCCAGCTGATGGCCAGGAGGAAGCCCCAGGACACCTGGGAGCTGGTCCCTGAGGAGAACCTGGCCTCTGGGCATGTGGACAGCCGTGGTTTCCAGTACCGACTGAGGGGGCTTTCGAGGTGCGGCTGACCAGGGGTCTCCTGCCTGCGGGGTGGGGTCCTGGGAAGGAAGGGCCCTGGCTGGGTGTGGCCTCCCCTTGGGAGAGGGAGGAGGGGCATGCATCTGCTGGCCCTGGCCCCAACAGGTGGGCGGGTGGGCCAGTGCTCCTTCCCCCTTCTGGGTAGTGGGGGTGTTGGGGGAGCAAAGTCTGTCCAGTGCCTTTCTGCCTGGCTGTGCTGGCCACCTCCAGCCCAATCTGGGCCCTGCCAAGGTGGAGGCTGGCGGGGTCACGGCCACCACCGCAGGGAGGACTATGCTTGTTCACTGCAGCATCTCCTCATTTCCGTGGCAGCACTGATGGCAGGAGCAGGGTGGGCAGGTGCCGGTGGTCACTGCTTGGCCCTGCACTGGACAGGGCCTGAGGGGGATGGGTGGAGGGGGCACGTGCCTGAGAGGAAGGAGGCTGTCCTGGCCTGGGCTGTGGCCAAGTAGGGGCCGAGTGAGGAATCCCAGGGACCACAGGTCATCATGTCAGACTCACTCTTCCTCAACGTGACGACAGATGGCGTCAGTGCCGCAGGGATGGGCCAGACCTGCAGGGGTCCCCCAGGGGCCAGCTGGGAGGGGGCACGGGGGGAGAGGGGGCCTCACAGACTGGTCACTGTGTGGACCCCTCAGGCAGCTGCCCTCTTACATGGACCCCCAGGGTGTCCAGTTGTGCACTGAGGTGCTGGCTGTCTTGGGTGTTAGGAAGTAGCCACCCTCAGTGCATCTGAGAAGCACCTTCAGTCAAACTCTGCTGTTCCCACAGCGCCCTGAAGAGCTGCTCTGAACTGGCTGGACTGGGACCTTGAGCACTGGTTGGTTTTCCGTTTCCTCGAACATGGAAATACCAGCTGGTGGGATGGTCACGGTCACGTGGTGCAGACCTACCTCTCCACGTGCAGCCACTGGCCACGGGCAGTCTTCGACATGCTCGTTAATTAAGTTAAACAAAGTAGGAAGTTCAGTTCCTAAGGCTCTGTGGGTGTCCAGGTGCTCCCTGGCCACTAGCGGCTGGAGGCTGCAGGCTGGCGGCACAGACGTGGAGCAATCCCAGCATCAGGGGACGTTCCACTGGACGGCGCTGGAGAGCTTTCCCAGGGAACGCTTGTGCACCCTCACACTTGGGGCTCCCTCACACACGTGTGTGCCACAGATGGTCACTCATCTCTGGCCTGAGAACCTGGGGGAGGGGTCCACTGCGCGGCTCCGGAGTGGTGCTGGCCCACCTGCTCTCAGACGGCGAGCAAGCCGCAGGCCCATCATCCTGGGACCCCAGCTCCGCACGGCTCTCCCCATGCTTCTCCATCTGCCATGGTCTCCCCATCACCTCCAGCCCATGGGCCGGGGTCCCCAGTTTCTTTCCCCGATCCGCCCCCCCCCCACCGGCTGGCATCACAGGCGCTTTGCTCTTCCTCTCCTCACTGTCCTGATGATGTTTCCTCGGGTCACCAAGCAACAGATGAGCAGCAGACTTGTCAGCAAGCACACAGGCTCGTGCACACCAGGCCAGGCTGTGCCCTGACGGGCTTCGGTGCCGACTGATGAAAAGGTGTCTGCTCTGGGCTTTTTGGGTTATGGGTTGCAGCAAGTGGTGTGCACCTGCATTCTGTCCCTTAGCAGATGGGGCCAGCCTGGGGGAGGGCGTGGGGTACAGGCACAGGGGCCCCCGCCCTCGCTCACCTCCGCCCTCTCGCCTCTCCCCCCAGGCTCCAGTGTGGCCGCTGCCAGTGGGGCTGGTCCTCCGCCCATGTGCACATCCTCTTCCACCTGTGGTGGGACGAGGACAGCCGGCTGGGGCTGGTGAAGATGCGCCTCTGGGGCCAGCAGTGCAGGGTGTGCCCACCAGGCAGAGACACCTGCCAGGTGAGCCTCCTGAACGTGCGGCTCTTCCTCAACAAGCTGGTGCTGTTCATCGTGCAGAAGTGCTACGGGGAGGGCCCCGGCGCCGACCAGTGCCCCGAGATCTGTTTCGGGGAGCGCTGCGAGGCCTGCGACCTGGGGGTCTGCTTCTTCCAGAAGCCCCCAGACCCCGCCTGGGGGCCTGAGGTCAAGAGCCCCAGCGCAGGCAAGGGCAGCACGGCCAGCCCCGCCCCCCTCAACAGCCACCTCGCGGTCGAGCGCTCCAGGGGCTACTCGCCCCGTTCCGTCACCGCCCACCTCTTGGAGGACAGCACCTTCTTCCATGAAGACGAGGACGTTGTCACCGTCCCCTTCTCCCTTGTGCGCAAGGACAAGGGGCCCACGGCTGAACACTCTGGGCAGGCCACCATCGGCAGGGGCTCTCTCTACCTGCCGGCCAGTTCCAAGACCACACCCAAGGGCAGAAGCCTTCCGGTGAACCTAAGAGCCCCCATCTTCCATGGCAAAGGCCCCCTCCTCAGCAGCATCAAGCCCCTGGAGACCACAAACTTCATCTACAAAGGCCAGAGCTGCATGCCCATCCCCGACAAGGACGAGGATGAGGACCCTGAGTGGTCTCTGGGGCACGGCCAGAGCCTCGTCCCTGATGGGGACAGCCCGCAGCTCCTGCCCTATGTGGTCGGCCTCACGAACCATGGAGAGGGCTCCCTCACCTTCCCCTCAGCCTTGGCCGACCTCATCGAGGAGGAGGACAACCCCGCCATCCTTGATGGCTCCCTCACCTTCCCCTTCATCTTTGCCGACCAGAGCAAAGGTGGGCCTTCCTCTGCCTGCAGCACCAAAGGCAAAGGGGAGGATGGCGGCCGCGGCCCCCTTCCAGGGACTAGTGCCCGTGGCTCCCTCGCAACGAGCAGTGGCGCCATCACCATCCCCTACTCAGTCCTTGGCGTCATCCGGCACAAGGGCTCCGGCCCCACGGCCGGTGGCCCTCAAAGTGGCTGTGACCAGAAGCGGAGGCAGCGCAGGTCTGCGCTGGGCAGGTGCCCCCGGGAGGAGGACTTCTGCTGCGTTGAAGGCTGCTGTGTGCCCCGCTTCGACCCCTATGAGGAGGTCTGGATCTGGGTCTCCGTGGCCGCCTGCGTCCTCTGGATACTGTACCTGTACACCGTCAGCCCCGACAGCTCCCCGCGGGGGTGAAGTGTGACACCCTTCCACAGGGCTGCCCAGGCAGCAGCAGAGCAAAGCCACCTCCCCGTTGCCGCCCTGGCCGCACCCCAGCCGCCCCCTCCCCCCGCCCCTGCTTCCATGTTCTGTGTTCTGTGCTGCGTGTTCTTCTCTTGCTGTGAGTAGTGGTTTAATGATGCTCATGCTGGGATCACGCCCCACGCTGACCGTGTGTGTTCCAGAAACTTTTCTGTATGAGTATCATGCTCCAATCAATAAAAGAAAGTTAACAAGCAGCTACCACACAGCAGTCTCAGGCCTTAAGACAGTGGGAGGTGGGAGGGTGAGGTCAGCGCAAGTGCCGATCCCAGGGTTCCTGGTCCCTGCAGGAGCGTCTCCCCCTGATGGCTTTTGGATTCCTGGACAGGACACCCAGGCCTCCCGCTGCCTTTCCAGCAGAGGCTGTCAGGTGGGGACCAACATCACTGCCATGCGGCCCCTGGGGGTTTGCTGTGAGCCCACCCACTCTGGGAAAAGATGGAAGCCCCTGGAGGTCTGGTTGGTAAGCCTCTCCTTCCCCCAGCCCTCCCAACTCCACATCCAACTTTGTGGAACCCCCAGGGGCTGAGAAGACACCTTCCACGCAGAAAGGAGGCAGGGGGCCGTGGGAGGGGCAGGAGGCCACCAGCTCTTTACCAGACTTTGCTCACAGCGCCCTGGAACACGTACAAGCACGGCACTGCTGTGGTTTAAGAAATGCCATCCGTGCTAGAAGTCAGAAAACCCTCCTGTCACTCACAGCCACACCCTGGACTTCCACCCGAAAGGCTGCGGTGTCTATTTCTAAAGGGCAGGGGTGTTGGGCCTCATGGGTCCCAGGCAGCTGGGGGCATGACAGCGGGCCTGCTGGGTTCGGCCACCCTGTCCCTCCTCTCCAGGCTGAGCCGGCCCCAGAGACCCGGGGCCTGAGACTTGGGTCACCCGGGGTCGGACGGGAGGTTTGGGAAGGCGTGCCTATGGGGAGGGGGAGTGCATGGAGTCCTTCTGGCAGGGCCCTCTGTCCAGCTTGGCCAGGGTGTCTCTGGAAGATTCTTCCCTCAGGCCTGACCTCGAGGTGAGTGTGGAAGCCGGCGGGCGGTGGTTGGGGGTGGTTCCTGCACAGAGGCTGCTGCCTGCGACACGGCGGAGGAGGGCTTCAAGGGGCAGCACCAGGACCACACGTCCCAGCCCGCCTGGTCACGGGGACCTCACCCCACATGACACCAGAACCCCGGAATGTTCCATCCCACGGGGAAAGCCAGACCTGCCCTGAGACATGAGGTGGGAGCCCTCCCTGGACACCATGGGGCCAGGAAGACCCACGCCAGACCCACCAGGTACCCTCCACCCTGGGTGAGACTGTCACCCTTTGGACAGAATCCACTCTCGCACTCTCAGTGTTCTGTCTACACTGGCTGAGGCCCGTATCTGAGAGCAGGGCTGACTCTCCTACCTTGGTTTCTCAGGCTACACTGTAGTGTAAAAGACCTGGGTGGTGTCCATGGTGGGTCGGGAGTTTCCAAGTTAGAGCACAGTTCCAGTTCCTGCATGTGGTCACTGTGTGGACTGGGCAGGCGCCCTCTGCCCTCTGCCGCACCTGGTCACACGTGGGAGGTTCCCCTGCACTGGGCCGGCGCTCTCCGACCTTCCCTGGAGTGGCCTTGTGGGGACTGTCAGGCCCCTTTTGGCATCACCTCTGTCCCTGGCTGTGTTACCGTGTAACCCCTGACAGGGTGAGTATCTCCTTCCCAGCCCCCATCCATGCCCCAGAACTACTTCTTCGTGGTTTCCAACATCTAGATAAGCCAGAGAATCATTTCTCAGATGAAGGCTTTGCCTGGATAGTTTAGACTGGATGCTGCAATAGCTGAGAGTTTCGGTCTGGTCACTGTTCCTGCGGACACCAAACAGGTGTTCAACCCAGGAGCCTGAGCTCAGCCGACTCAGAGGGGCAGAGTCATTCTTGGTCCTCAGGTAGGTCTTGAGAATCTTCTCTGAGCCACCTGCACCAGCTCCTGGCCTCTGGGGATCCCCTGGAGGTCAGCTGGGCCACCCTAGACAGTGATCTGCCCCTCCCCCAACACCACCTGGCTAGGCTGTGGGGTGGGTGGTCCCAGGGCCTCTTGGCCTGGACTCACAGGAGGGTTCTGTGTCTCCCCAGGCCCTGGCGGGCACAGAACACCTTGATCTCACCTCCGCCCCTCCCACTGCCTTCCAGGCCCCCAGTGGGCGCTGGGCCCCTGAGCACTGGGAGAGGGTCTGAGTCACACCGCCCCTCTGGGTCTGCAGGACCACCCACCCTAGGAACCTGCGAGGAGCAGTGTCTCCGTAGGTGGGAACACACAGGAGGACCCCGATTTGGTAAAAGCCAGCGGGAAGCCTAAAGTGTGGGCAGTGCCCAGGCCCTCGAATCAGGGAATGGGGGAAGGGCGCCACCTTGAATTGGCATGGGGAGGGGAGAGGGCACCACTGCAGTCCCCCTGAGCCCCTCCGTGTCCCGGGGACCTCAGCAGGCTCACAGCCCCCTCTCCACCCCCCTTCCCGACCCACCTCCCACCACTGCAGGCGGTGCGGTCCCGGGATCAGGCCCACGCGGCCGCAATGCCCACGCGGCTGCACTGCCCT